CGCCTCTACTCGATTTCATCAGTTCCTATCTGTCCAACCGATATCAGAAAGTCATGGTCGGTAATAGCTACTCGACACCCCACTCGATCAAGAGTGGCGTACTTCAAGGAACGGTTCTGGGTCCGCTACTCTTCCTTCTGTACATCAATGATATTTCGACTGAACACGGAAATTCGCAAACTTTTACTTATGCCGATGACCTCAAGTGTGCTTACTCATACTCTAAGGACACCGCAAATGTTTGTGTTGAAAAAATTAATGCCGATTTACTACGCTTAAGCAGATGGGGTTCGACATGGCAGATGGAGTTTTCATCATCCAAGTGTAGTTTCATGTCTTTTGGTCCTACCAAACTTCCTGGTCCCATAATTTTTCAGAATAACCCACTCTCAGAATGCCTCACCATAAAGGACCTAGGTCTAAGTTATACAAATAAACTTGCTTTATCACCTCATGCAGATAGAATCTCTGCCAAAGCCGCGCAGATATGTGGATTCATATCGCGCAATTTTTTCCTTCCGGAAATGAAGCTAAGACTTTATCAAATGTTTGTTCTTCCAGTCCTCGAATATTGCTGTCCTTTCTTCGCATTAGTGAACGCCTGCGACCGTAATAAAATCGAAAATGTTCAGAGGGTTTTCACCCGGAAACTGTTCTCTCAAGCTTCGTCCAGTATTTCTTATACTCAGAGATGTCAGCTGGCGAACATGAAGTTTTTGTGGGTTAGAAGACTCGAAGCTGGCCTTTGCTTCCTTTTTCGCATCAACTCTAGCTCCAGTCTTCCGCACATTGACACTCTCACTCCGAGAGATCGGTCTTATGCCACGCGCAACTCCTGCATGGTGATTCCGCCGCCTCTTTGTACTACATCTAAGCGCTCCCTCTTCTTTGCTTCCAAATATGCCTTCCTTTGGAATAATCTTCCGCCTGAAATTAGTTTATCGCCTAGGTTACTGATATTCAAGTCGAAATTACGCAACCATCTTACACCGGAAAGCATAAAGGCACTGTTAACGGTCTCATTCCCGAACACTCAGGTTCTTGACTTCAAGAAGGGTCCTCCTGGGATTTAGTGGTAGATTAAGTGGTAACTCTAAATTATATCATTAGAAACGCCTGTTTTGAATTGGTTTCTGAATTCACTGCTATCACTCCCTCCCCCATAGCGACAATTTTCGCGGTTTTCGATGTCATCTCCCGCATTCCGACCTCATGCGGTCTGTCGACGCTCACGGCGGAACCCTCAGTATTCACTGTCTACTAGTAGTTCGGTCGTACCTCCCTTCCTCACTGCTCGGCTGAGCTCGAAGCGTGCTGTGGCCGATCGCATCTCGGTTCCTCTCGTCTGGCCTCTTTGACGCGGCGTACCAATCCGGCCCAGACGATCTCAATTGTGAATCCCGTATGCAATGCCATATGCAAGCCAGTCCTGTCTGACCCACATTCGTACCCATCAAGGCTGACATTTATTGCTACCCTGACGATGACTGACAACATTCCGTTATATACCGCCACCTACAGGCCAGTCCTGCTCGCTTTTTTCTGTCTTTATTTTTATGGAGGGGTTTTTTTCTCCTGTAAAATCAATCCAATCATTTTTAACTTTTTGTAAGGAGTTTTTTCTTCACCTTTCAATCATCATGTTTCTCAATGGACTTCTAATTCAGAAACTATGAATTGCATTTTGTAAAGATTCGGCCTACCTCGTCTAAAACTCGCATGTAAATTTATTTTAACTTGCTTCGATGGGACCCCGGCGGGTCTTTAATGAAAATTATCTATCTATCTATTAGCGGTAGGTGTATGGAAATCGTCGGTTTGGTATAACAGATGTGTCTTGTCCAGGTGAGCATTGTTTCCGGGAAAATATACATCGATTCTTTGTTTAGACCTCTCAATCCTTTCGGACATTATTGTTTATTCGGAATGTCCCTTCCAGGCACGGAAGACTCGCTGCGAATTTTAAGGGAGTGCCATCACAAATTGTTGTTATGACAAAGGCGCAGATATCATCAAATTGCAGAGCACGGTCCCGATCCCTCAAAATCCCGTATGTCCGTATGAGATCTCAGATCTGTCCGTACATAAGAGGAAAAACCTAAGTTCATCAGGTCTACAGCTGTAACGGTATGTCTTGAGACATTTCACAACTTTGGTTGTCCTCCTCCAAACTCTTTCCAGCAAATTATAGTCTTTTTTCCTCCAGGAACGCCACACTTGGATTCCATATCCCACTTGCGAACGGATAAAAGCGCCGTACACTTTCTCAAATAGAACTTCTATTTCTTATATATATTCACGACTTATCGTGCATATCTGTCTCAGCTAAGACGTTTTTGTATGCGGACGACCTTAAAATTGCATATGCATATAACGGGAATACAGTAGCAAATATTCATAGAACAATTGAAAATGATCTCAGAAAACGCAGCGAATGGAGTAGTCAGGGGCAGATGCCCTTTTCACCCGAAAAATGCCATCTCCTGATATTTGGTCCACAAAAACTTCCCCCCATAATATTCGAGGATAATGAAATAACAGAGGCCCAATCGGTAAAAGATTTAGGTCTCAGCTATACAAATACCCTTGATTTATCTCCCCACGTCCAACAAATATCACCGAAAGCCACTCGCCTGTGTGGATTCATATGTTAAAATTTCACCCTGAATGCACTAAGAATACAACTGTTCAAAATGTATGTTTTACCTCTCCTAGATTACTGTTCAATTTTCTTCGGCATAATGCCCTCAGACGGCCGAAAGAAACTAGAAGGCATTCAGAGACGTTTTACTAGATCTTTTTCTAGAAGTGATGGCATCCAGGGTTCATACTTAGAACTATATCATAAATACGGTCTTCGACCCCTCTGGATCAGAAGACTTCAAAATGGTCTAAACTTCCTATTAAAGGTCACCCACGACCAAGATATTCTCAAAATGAATTTACTTACCAACCAAAACGTCCCTAGAAACACCAGAAATAGCGAGGATATTATAAGGATTCCCAAATTCACAAAGTCCCAACGGTCAAATTTCTACTCCATAAGATATGCGACTATCGGAATTCTCTTCCAGGTTATATCCGGAAAAGTCGAACCCTAATCGAGTTTAAAATAAAAACTAAGAAATTCCTTTCAAATAACAATACACATTTATTTTTGAATAAGATAGGACACTTTTCAAGTCAATTCTTTGATATTGAATTTGGTCCAAAAGGGCTCTGATGATGCCAGCCGATTGAAAAATACGGAACATAGCACTAAAAATAATCAAATTTATAAAAGATAGCATTATTGATAAACATAGAACAAATAATGATATTCTTCTATTTTCCTCCCTTTCTCGTTTTCATCAGCTATGTCACCTGACACTAAATATCCCTTATAAAGCTAATAAAAATATTCCCTTCGATAAAACCCTGCATATTAGTCGTGCGTATGTATATGTTTAGGCCATTTTAAGCATATATAGAACTATATTAGGTCATAGTAAACAGTCGACCATTACTCCTATAATTTCACATTAACAAGAACAATACGATACATGATTCAATAGTATTTTGACAGTTTTGTTTGTGACTTACCAATGAATGCTTCTTGCTCCTGATATATATTCATCTTTTCCAGCTCTTAGTCCAGGCAACGATGGTAAGCCTCCTGAAAAAAACGTAGGAACTGTGCGACCGCCCAATTACAGCTGGCCAGATAGACTGACAACTGTGATGAAAAACCCGCCATGACCACTCCCTTATTATAGTCATATTTCTCTGTTTGATCTTAACTCATTGTAGGAACCGAAGAACCAATCCCGGGCGAGGTCTCAGAAGAGGACGCCTGATTGGACAAGGGACACTCCGGTTTCCCCGTGGCGTGTGCGGTTGGATCTTCTGGCTGCCTTCTTGTGTTTCACTTCTTTTCTTCCTCTTGAGCACTCTTGTGTCTCGTTCCCCCTTCGCTCTCCCGCTATTACCGTTCCCTAATAAACATGCTCCCTCCTTCGACGAGATCTTCTGATTTAGAACGGTGTTCTGCCTGCTTGTTTGCTACAAAACTGGTGGCAGCGGTTCCTCTCCATGTCCCACGACCAGGCTACCGCGAAATCAGCCGAAATGCCCGCCAGCGTGGACGTAAGGGAGCTTTGCCAAGCTCTTATGTCTCTCCTTGAGACAAGGCAATCCTCCACGGACACACTGCCTCTGTTGAAACCGGGGGACAATTTCGACGTTTGGTACTCCCAAGCGAACGTTCATTTGGCCTCCATTGCAGCCAAAGACCGTGCGCGGTACATATGCCGCCACCTCTCGACGGAGGCGCTAACAAAGGCCTCTGCTTTCGGGGTCAAGTTCGACACCGACGCGGATTCGCTGTTGCGTGCTCTTCGGCGCGTTTTTGCAACGCCCAAGCCCCCAGTGGACGCGTACAGGCAGTTCTCGTCCCGTCTTCAGCTACCTGGGGAGAGTGCCAGAGATTATTTAGGCTGTCTTCGCCCTTTGGTATTGGCGGCCTTTCCTGACCAGCCAGCGAGCCTGACTGATGTTGTTCTCGCTGCGCACTTCTGCGCTGGTTTATTGGACGATAACCTCCGCCGGAAATTGATCAAGAAGCCCAACTTAGCGTCTGAGGCTCTCTTAACCCTGGTGCAGGAGTATGAGGAACGCTACGGTCCCTCAGTCGCCGCGCCATGTTATTCCACCTCAGTCGCCCGGAAACGGCAGACTCGATCAGTGGCGACCCAGACATTCCGGAACTTCACACGTCCATTCCGAGGTCGCCAGGCTCGCGTCGCACAAATCTCCAGTGAGTCCTACACCGTTCCTGCTGTTACATCTACCTCTGATTTTCCTGCTGCCATTGTTAACGCTACGGTTGTAGACAGGCGAGTGGCGTTTCTTGTTGACCAGGGACAGCCTGCTCTTTGCTAAACCCCCAGGGTTTCACCCGCACCTGGCTACAACAGACCGAAATTTCCCATAGACATCCCCGTATTGTAGCGGCGAACGGTATGCCACTTTCCTGCTCGTCACTAGTCGACGTGCCATTTCGCCTGGGCTCATCTGAGTTTACCCACCCTTTCTACGTCTGTCCTGATATTCAGTGGCAGGGTATTTTAGGCGCAGATTTTCTCCATGCTGACCGTTTCTGCGTCGATTTTGCGGCCGGTCAACTCACCTCTAAGTCGACTTCAATCCCCATTTATTTCCCCCATGCCCCTGACCCCCAGCTGTTTTGCGACCCAGTCGGGCTCCACCCTCCCCAGCCTTCCGACCTGGTACATTTGGTTCCCGACTCTCCCGGGTTCTCCTCTGAACAGATCACCGCTGTTCTTAACCTTATATTCAAAAACTCAGCTGCGTTCGCATGGGATGGTGAACCCCTTGGTAGAACGAATGTATTGCAGCATACTATCGACACGGATTCAGCTCGACCAATCCGTCAATCCCCCCGCCGCGTACCCGTGCATTTCCAGAAACAGTTAGAGCAAACCATCAAAGACATGCTGGACAAGCACGTCATTCGCCCCTCGTCCTCACCCTGGGCCTCTCTAATCGTCCTCGTTAAAAAGAAAGATGGATCGTTGCGATTGTGTGTTGATTACCGAAAGGTAAATGCCGTAATCGTCAAAGATTCCTTCCCACTTCCACGCATTGACACCACCCTAGAGGCACTCGCAGGAGCTGCATGTTTCTCCACACTCGATTTGCAGTCCGGCTACTGGCAGGTGGAAATGGCTCCCGAGGATAGGCCTAAGACTGCATTTTCCATTCCCTCTGGGTTGTATGAGTTTAAAACTATGCCATTTGGCTTGGCAAACGCGCCTGCTACCTTTCAACGTTTGATGGCGTCGGTTTTACGGGATTTATGCCCTACGGCGTGTTTGGTCTACCTGGACGATGTCATCGTACACGGGTCTACTGTCGAGTCCCACCTTGATAATCTGCAAACCGTCTTTAACCGTCTACAGGCCGTAGGCCTTAAACTGAACCCGGCTAAATGCTGTTTTCTCAAAAATTCTGTTCCTTTCTTGGATCACATCGTCTCAACTGAAGGGGTAAAGACGGATCCTGCGAAGAGAGAGCAAATACGCAGTTGGCCACAACCGACGTCAGTTTCCGGGTTGCGCGGTTTCCTCGGTCTGGCCTTCGATTATCGTCGGTTCATTAAAGATTTTGCACGCATAGCTGCACCTCTTAATCGTCTCACTAGCAAGCAGAACGCATTTAACTGGTCCGACGAGTGTGAGAGTTCCTTTGAGGAACTCAAATGGCGGTTGATCTCCCCTCCCCTGTTGGCCTTCCCTAACATATCCGAGTCAGCCCCACCTTTCATCTTGGACACTGATGCATCAGATGTAGCCATTGGGGCGGTCTTGTCTCAACAGCAAACCGATGGACTGGAACATCCCCTCATTTTTGCCAGTCAGACGCCCACCAAGCCTGAGCGTAACTACTCTACCACTCGCAAGGAGCTTCTAGCCGTCGTCACCTTTGTCAAGAAATTCCATCACTATCTCGCCGGCAAACGGTTCATTTTACGCACCGACCACCAGGCGCTGCGCTGGTTGGAAAACTTCAAGGATCCGACCGGTCAACTCGCTCGCTGGCAGGCAGACCTCTTGGAATATTCTTACACTGTCATCCATCGGGCCGGTAAAAAGCACCAGAATGCCGATGCCTTATCTCGCCGAGCACAAACACCACTACCGGCCGCAACATACGCCCCAGCAACTGCGATTACTTTTGGCACTCCCGACCACTCAGGGTGGGCGTCGGCTCAAGCTTCTTATCCCTATATATCTCTTATCTATGATCGGTTGCGTCAGGGTGCGCCAAAACCGTCAAGCGAAGAAATGAAGGGCTCCAGCTGGGAAGCTCGCTGCCTTTGGTCAGCGTGGAACAGCCTTCGCCTCTGTGACGGCGTGCTTTTTCTTCAGTATTCTCCCACCGACCCCCGTCGTTTGGTTTTGCTGCATGATGCGATCCATCCCACACTTTCCCGTCTTCGTGTTGATCTGGGACACGCTGGTCAAGCTCGTACCGACACCGCCGCGCGTCAGCGTTTCTGGTGCCCGAATCAACGGCGGATCATTCAGGGCATTTGTAACACGTGCCCTGTATGTGCCGAAGTCAAAAATCCCAACCCTACACAACGCGCACCACTGCAGCCCATTCAAGCGGGTTACCCGAATGAAATTGTTGGCGTCGATCTGATGGGTCCTATGCCCCCTTCCCCCAGCGGAAATCGTTATATCTTAGTTTTAGTCGACTTTTTCACCAAGTGGTGTGAAGCGGTGCCCCTTCCACAAGCCGACGCCATCACCGTCGCTAAGGCCATCCTTAGCGAGTGGATCTGCCGCCATGGGGTGCTTGAGCGGCTCCATTCAGACCAGGGTGCTCAGTTCGAGTCCCGGCTGATGGGAGAACTCTGCGAACTTCTTCATATTCGTAAATCTCGTTCTACCCCGTGGCACCCTCAAGGCAATGGACAAGTAGAGCGCACGAATCGGACTCTCAGAGGTTTGATCCAATCTTTCGTTAACGGTTGCCCTGGTTCCTCTTGGGAAGTCGCCCTCCCTCAGTCCCTTCTTGCCTACCGTTCCGCCACGCACTCGTCAACGGGCCATACGTCGTTTGCCCTTATGTACGGCCGCGAAGTTCGTCTTCCACTGGACACTTCCTGTCCCCTCCCACTTCCGTCCTCCCGAGCCTCCTGGGTCAGCCGACAAGTTCTCCACGCATTGGATAGGGCCTTTCGTTGTTGTGGAAGTCCCTTCAGAAGCTCTTTGTATCCTCAGGGCTTCTGATGATCCAGAGGGTTCCACCTTTGCAGCTCACTTCAACAAGCTCAAACCATACGCCTTAGATGATAGCTCTTGCGGCCCAGTCTCTTCGGAGTTACCTTCATTCCCCTCCGCGGAGCTGCCGCACCCTCCAACGGATCCCCCTTCAATAGTCTCCGTCCCTTCTTCTCCTCCCGCTCCAGCAGTCCTTACGTCCCCCGCTCTCCCCAGTCCTCTGCCCCCGTTAGTTTCTCGTACTGTGGAAGTCCCTCCCGAAGGTGGTTTCGGCCTCCCACTCGACGGTCTTATCCCCGATGGGACATCGGTCCTACAGGAGGGGGCAGTGTGATGTAAAACTCGCCATGACCACTCCCTTATTATAGTCATATTTCTCTGTTTGATCTTAACTCATTGTAGGAACCGAAGAACCAATCCCGGGCGAGGTCTCAGAAGAGGACGCCTGATTGGACAAGGGACACTCCGGTTTCCCCCGTAGCGTGTGCGGTTGGATCTTCTGGCTGCCTGCTTGTGTTTCACTTCTTTTCTTCCTCTTGAGCACTCTTGTGTCTCGTTCCCCCTTCGCTCTCCCGCTATTACCGTTCCCTAATAAACATGCTCCCTCCTTCGACGAGATCTTCTGATTTAGAACGGTGTTCTGCCTGTTTGCTTGCTACACAACCAGCAGCTAGAGCACACCGAAATTTACCCAACAGGAAATTACTTTCAAGGTCAGACCGATATCAAATTTCATCAATTGCCATGAAGGACATATTATTCATGCCCCCGAAAACTACCAAACTGCAAACTTCAATTTTCCTATTGTACATATCGTTATTTTTTGAAAATTTTGTTATCATTTTCCCTTAGAACTGAGGTTTTTTTTAACTTAAAACAAATTCTCAATTCGCGCTCTTTTGGCTAACCAGACACCCGAAGCAAATGAAGTCAAAGTGCAGTTGAAATTGATGAGTTTGTTTTAGGTTTTTTTCCTGAGTTCAAAGGGGACTGATAGTGCCCAAGGGGTGCTGCAATAAACCTATTCTATTCTATCTATACATACGAGCAAAGAGAATACCTTTCGCCCTATAAACCGCCCCAATGAATTGAGAGGAGGGCTTAAGAGACGGAAAACTACTGATCCAAAGGTATTTTTGTTCGGTAACATATGGAAGGTGCCTTAAGTTAAACATAGTGCACCTCCCGGAAAGAGTGACAACAACACTACAACGCTACTATGGGATTATTCGCTCTTCTCTCAACTCCAGAAGAGAACAGAAGGCCAACCTTATATATGAGAGTCAGATCTTAACACGAGGAAAAAATTGATGTCCGTGAATTGGGAGTGTTTGCTCAAAAGAGATCCGGAGGACGACTGTAGATCGTTTAAGCCGATTTCACTCGAACTAATTCGGCGCTGTTGTCCACTAACGCTACAGAAAAACCACCAGTCAACCTGTCTGGTTAACTAGGGACCTAAATAGAAAGTGACAGAAAAAAAGCAAAGGATGGAAGATATTCAGGGAAAGTGGGTCAACAGCGCACCTCAAAGAATTTCGTCTTCAACAAAATGCTGTCAAGAAAGGCATCAATATAACAAGGAAGATGTATGAATCCAGAAGTATCCGACAGGCTGAACAGAAGCCCAATGCTTTCTTTCATTATATTAACAGTAGACTGAAGCACGAGGACCCGTTCTTAGTACCGAAAGGTGATAATAGTGCAGAAATCGTCGAAAACAGCGAGAAAGCCTAATATTTGGGGCAGCACGTTGTATCGGCTTTCACTAGGGAAAACAGAGTTTCGCGGTCCCAGTGCCAGCAGTACTGTTGAGACTGCCGACCTCCTGCTTGACTTCATACACTTCCGGAAATCTGTCGTGGCAAGGGAGCAACAAAATCTCAAAGAAACAAAGTTCTCGGGTTCGGACAATATATCGGTCAAATTCTTGAAAAAGTTGGCGAACGAACTCTCAAAACCACCAGCACACCTCTTCTGTTTGCCATTCGAATTACGGAGACTACCATCCGAATTAATGATAGCGAATATCTTTACGATATGCAAGGGTGGTGCTCGCACTAACGCTAACAATGACCAGCCTGATGGTCTCACCTGCATCGGCTGTAAGATAATGGAGAGCATAGTTGGGCAAGCAACAATGAAGTTCCTGGAGCAGAACCACTTACTCTCACACCTGCAGTACGGCCTCAGGCAGAACCGCTCGCACATTTCCAGTTTATTGCTTTTGACTGAGCAGTGGACTCGTGCACTACACGGACAGCAGGTAGGCGTTCGACGGCATCCCACACAAACGCCTAATCTACAAACTTTCTGAAATCGGGATTAGAGGAAAGCTACCGACATGGATCGCAGATTTTCCTACAGGGGATCACAAACCGTGTACGTTGAGGCCCCGAGGTCAACTCCTAGCCCTGTTTTAACTGGTGTCCACCAGGGCTCATTTTTAGGACCGTTGCTATTCCTGGTTTACATTATTCACTGCGTTGCTGTCCTGAGAGGCAAAGACACCGTGTTCTCTGGCGATATTAAGTTGTGGCGAGCAATTAGACCTGAAGCAGACGGATACGCGCTTCAAGACAATCTTAACCGCCTGAGCAGGTGGTCAGCTCGTTTGCTCCTCACACAAAAAATCGCTGCTAGAAGATACTATCCACACGGAAATCTGTAACAGATGCGCAGACACGCTTTTGTCGACAACGTTTTCGTGTCCAACTGACGCTGACGAACTTGCTTTACAGAGCCTCGGTGATTACAGATTTGTGTAGAAATGCTGCGCAACACTTTTGCAAGTGATCGTTGATGTTGCTGACTAAAGTCTGTCTCCCAACTGCTCAAATACCTAGCTGTTATTGAAGAAAGAATAGAGAGCGCAAGATATTATCTGCTGAAGTTGCTGTTGATTTTCTCGGTTTAGCAAGACCTGAAACAACTGAAGCCGAACCAGAAAAGAATAACATTGAATTTTGAATCCAACACAAGCAAAGGAGTTGTGCCCAACATATTGCTCGACAATTTAAGCATGTAAGTATTGCGTGTGTTGAGACGGATGCTGACTTTAACATGAAGAATGTTGTAGCAGCCTTGTATGGCGGTGTCGTTGAGGTCAGGTTCATAAGTACCGACAAAACCGACGAGGCCAAACTTTGTGCACCAAAGCCACTTTCCTGCGATGATGCATAGGCATCTTGATAATATACCGCAGATGGAAACAGAACTAACGAAATCAAAAATCGGCAACATGATAATGGTGCTGCCGGATTACAAGGAAACAGCAATCAATAAATGACTCGCGTACACTGCAATGGGAGCACACGTTTCCTCGTCGGTAATCAGCAGTCGCTCAAACCTACGCCTTCCTCACAGTCTACAGTGATGTGTGACAGCTGCCTAAGATGTCTAGACAGGTGTATTTAGGGAAAGTATGATGTACCGTCTAGCTAAAATGCTCCAAACGAGCTTTGGGAAGTTACATCACCAGTACGCTGACCGTAGCTTGTAGATGTTGAATTCGCGATCTATTTGAATGAAGAAACAACAGTCCTCGTCTCTACTCCTCCACTCAAGCCCACAGGCAGCTAAAGTGACTATTTTGACTTTGGCGGTCTTGAAAATATGCAATTCCTTTGAAAATCCGACAAACAACCGGCCGGAAAATACAACGACGTCAGCTGCACAAGACGTGTCGCGTCAGAAGGTAGAAATCGCTCCCTAACTAATAGCAATGCTGAACGTAAGCTTACCGACATTATCGAAATATATGCACAGTGTGAATTCAACAAGCAATGAAAAGGACCGCACCAGCGTCTCCTGCACAAATTGAGAATTATGGGCATTGGCGGCACACTTCTCAGATGGATCGGGAATTTTCTCGTCGGTCGCTCCCATATTGTCCGCGTAGAACAACAGCAATCAAGGCGCACATTCATAGAGAGTGGAGTCCAACAAGGTCCGGTGCTCGGACCAACCCTCATCCTCTTGTTCATCAATGATTGTGTGGATGGGTTGGACTGTGATAGTGCCATGTTTGCGGATGACATAAAAATCTGTAAAGTCATCCAGAATGCTGCCGATGAGACCAACTTCCAAGAAAATCTTTGTCGATTGGACGAGTGGTCCCGCAGATGGCTCTTGTCCTTCAATTTGACCAAATGTACCATACTGCTCCTCGGAAATCAGACCCCTAGTACACGGCAATACCATCTGAACGGAATACCACTTAAAGATGCAGAAACACAGAAAGATCTCGGAGTCTGGGGTGCGGACAGCCTAAAGCCTTCTACACAATGTTGTAAGGCGACCAAGGCCGCAACTTCAATACTGTATGCCATCAAGCGGGCACTCGCAACTTTCGATGAAGACTGCTTCTCCAAATTATTCGGCACGTTTGTAAGGCACTGACTTACTGACTGACTGCCGTACAATTATTTTGGTTTTAGGAAACTGGAGTTATCCTGCGGAAAAAGATTGTAGCCCGCGGAATGACGTAGTCCAGAGCGAAAATGGTCATCACGAGTACGTCGGGATTTCACAGTCACCATTCCTTTTCATAGAATTGAGACTGTGTACCAGAGGAAGGTCCATGGGTGAATCGTTGCCTACCACCGGCCGAAAAATGCGGTCGTTGGGCGGCGGAATGCAGAGAGAATATTTCTTTACAGTTGAGACCCGACAGAGAGATTAAAACAACAAAATCCATTAATACGGAAGATTAAATGGGTGAATTCGGCACTCGGAAATAGTGACAGCTGTTCTGAATATGGAAAGCAAGTGCTAATTTGTCTAAACGAAGAATAATTGTGCAGAATTCTTGTGCTCCGCGGATAATTATTCGAGGCTGTAACTGCGTTGGCAGAAAAGAACGGAGTATATCTGACTGTACGTGCCAGAGAAAGAAGTAAAAGCACTCTGGGTGACCGTTGCGTTAATGTGGATCAAGATACTCCACAGCAGTAAACTGATTAAAGGTACGGTAGGCTGAGAGCCTAACCAATAGAAAAAATTGGCTTTCCTATTTAGTGAAGTCATGAAGGAATAGGACATGTGAATCCTGGTCGTTTATTCGAGATTATGTTATAACTCGACGTGGTCTTATTATTCACACCTATCCCACCAAACCTGTCGCATAAGTATATATGCAGAAGGATGAATGAGAACTACAATTGAGCGAGAGACTTCTGAACCTCGAGCATATGGTGCAGTTCTTTGAATTCTGCAGGCAAACTTCTCTAATGTAAGTAGTGGAAAATGGTAGCGAACCAAATAAATGATGGCGGGTTCGATAGATATAGATCGGTCCATATTTTAACGCAAAAGATTTATGTCCACGGGTTATGTAATCTAAGCAGATGTGGAGAAAACATAAGCCACGAAAATACAGCTTCGCTTTGAAATGCCATTGAGGGTTGTGCTTAAGTTTACAAGCGCATTTTGCCACGCTCAAAAGCGCTTTTTTATGCTAATACAGGTCCCGCGAATTTATTCCAGCCGTAGATTTAGCCCAGTAATAGTTGAAATGGATCCCTCTTATTTATTAAAAACTTATATTTTGTGTCAATGAGTGGATGGCACGCTCGTTATAATCGAGATGGGCATGCTACCATCCTTTCAGGGCATGTTCAGAGGGGTCTTCTATGAAATCCAGCTTACATGAGAAAGGAGGGCCCACAAGTTGCCATTCTTTGACGTTCTCGTCACACACTGACTAAATGGTGAACGCAGAACCTTGATGTATATAAATTCGGCTGATGCATTACCTCATCGGTTATCACAACAACCGTCCGACTCTGTGCAAACTCATTGGTTTAAGAACGCTCTATTTAATGCCAAAACGCGTTAGAGCGAACCATAGGGGCGAACAATAGATTAAAGTTACCTTCGGCACCAGTTAGCAAGGAATGGCAAGCCAAACAAATTCATCAACCACTACCTCCATATGCGTTCAAAAAGGAGACGCCGGAGAGGGTTAACAACATTGTGGCAACCCCTACCGCACACAAATACCTCCGTTGAGATGGTGGAACGCAATGTTTCCGTTGGCATGAGTATTCTTTATCGTCCGGCAGCTACCATACATACAAAAATCATGAATATGAATGACCGGGTGGATAAATGCGAGCGATCGTGTGCACTCTATCAAATCCTACGCTACGACTGTCTCTGTCATTGTCCAGGCCAGACAGTACGTTGATTCAGCTAATCAGCGTCGAAGGACGAACTAGCCGTTAAGAGGGAATTCGATGGCCAAACTCGCTACTCACGCTAGAGGAAAGCCATTGTGGGGTCAACCGGTTATAACCCCGGACAGGAAATGCGGAAGTTTTGGGTGTATGGCAGCAACTTCATACCACCTCACCCGTTCCAACTCTGTCTTTGTTTGATGGCGAAACAATTCACTTGATTTTGCATTCTTATGGTCTTTTAGTATGGGTTCCTGTACTAGTGCGAAAGCTCAGACTAATACAACTTCTGTTTCAGAGATCGCGAGTCCATATTTTTTTAATATCCGTCACTTGCCTAAGAATTTGTAACCAACCACTTTCAACTTGTCAGCTTGTACCAAAGGCCTGTAATTCTTTTTATCGGGCACATCGCTGACGGAGAGGCGAAGCACGGACGAGTAAAGCACACTGTCCTGATTAACTCCCCTGATCGCAGTAGTGAAGCCGGAGAAAACAGTGTAATTCATAAACTGATGTGCCCGATCGTTGGCGCAGAAAGATAAAAGGTTTAAGAACTCTCATCCCGTACAGAAGGATAAAACCTCCAAAGTGAGAAGGGAATCATCAAGACGATCAACGTGTTCAGTAAAAATGTACTAAGGCTATGGAAAGACCAAAAGACTTATTTGGAGATCATGGAAAAGCCTTTAAAAATCAGTGCTCACACACGCTCAGTAGGCTATCCTCTAATATAAGACATCAGATGTTGCCTCTGATTGGGCTTTTTAACATATGTGAGGCAGCAAGAGTGGGAATGTCTATTGTATGCAAAACTCAAAGTGATGCGGAGCGTCCGTGGTTGGGTAGAGGCAGGATGTTCCGTACCTTTATCGCACGTTGAGCGGTTTTACCATCAAAGATAAGACTAAAGATATTTAATGACACAGAAACGCATGACTCGCGTCGGTATACAAATGTTGACTGCGACATTACCAAGCCCCAGCCGATAGGATTGTCGAAAAGGTTGGATAGATGCCGTTTTACTACAGGGTTTTATATTTTGAATCTCATAGACGAATCGTTCTGAACTCGGACACTCTGAAGCGGTCTGGTCGAGTTTTCAACACTGCTCTTGGACAACAGAATATCCAGGATATCAGCGGTCATCTCTGTATAAGCTGTCAGAATTCTGGTGTACCTTAGAGAGCAACACATCGCGTCTTTATGCGATATTGTTAGTGAGGAAGGAAATTCGCGTAATTTGACGAACACTATTTACTGAAGTCTCCCATTTCGACTGGCCATTTTTACCGATCATCTTCCTTATCTTCCTAATATTAAGTGGCTACACGGCGAGGGATCCTTAAAGTTTGCAGCTAAATGTAAAGGGAGAACTACCCACTTATATGCCAGACCCCGGCTGGAGACATTGGTCATTGTGCATTTGAGAGTGAATAAAAGATAAATGAAGTTCCCAACGTGCATAACTAAAAAAACAGTGCATCACTTCAGACGGATATTGTGTTCTATAGCAAACAAACTCGGTTATACTCGCCGTTCGAGTTTTCTGATCCTTGATTATTTTATGCGGAGTCGTGCCTAAATAGAAATGACCGATTTCTCGAACGGCCACCTTTTATTTCATTTAAGCACTAGCGATCAGAAAAGCCTCACTTGGCCGATTGGCTCTGAATCACAACATCGCCAGATCTGCTCGAGGAAGCGTGCATGACCAAACAGTACATCACTGTATGAGCTATGCCCTTGTCAAATCCAGTGCGATCATGCTTCCTATCTAAATATAGCTCGGCGCTGTGAAGTTCAGTGCCTCATACTGGTTATTAAGCACATACACCAAAAGCTCTTTAAGGCCTTTTAAATCCCAGCATTCGAGAGGCATGTTATACTTTTAAAATTTGTCTTATTTACTGTGGATTTTGCGCTTCCCTGTCGCATGTTCTCATTCTTGCGTTCGACATTTGTCTTCTGCACTGCATGCCTTTATTTGCCGCCTGACGATTAGTCTCCCTCGGGAGCTTCTCCTCCAATCCCAAATACATAGTCTTGGTTCTAAGATCATACAGACTGAAATGAAACGCTCAAAATCAGACTGAAATTGATGGTTCAAGAATTGTCCTAATGCTAACCAGATCACATTGCAAGAATGTTGGGAAAAAATCGGTCAAGGCCCGGGATTGTGTTTAGAATTAAGTACTTATGGTTTTCGCAGACTGGATGAGGTACAGATGATTGAATAAATCTCAAACCTTCGTCTAAAACCTGGTCAGTCTCTGATCTTTGAAAATTCACAGTTGGTAACGGAGCCGTCCGTAAAGTTGGGCCGTACAATGTCTGATGCATTCTATCTCCGGTATTATGTCGGCCACAAAGGGAAGTTCGGTCACGAATTCCTAGAATTTGAGTTTCGACCGGATGGTTCGATACGAATTTTTAAATTAACACTTGTAGGAAAGTTGCGGTACGCCAATAACTCTAATTATAAAAATGATACGATGATTCGCAAAGAAGTGAGTAGTCGATTTAATGTTATATTGCCAAAGGCATATGTTAGCAAAGCAGTAATGGAAGAACTCAAGAGAATAATTTTGGACAGTGATATTATGAACGAGGATGATGAGAAATGGCCCGTCCCCGATCGTGTTGGTCGCCAAGAGCTGGAAATCGTATGTGGCGATGAGCATATATCCTTTACCACATCAAAAATCGGTTCTCTTGTTGAAATAAACAGTTGCAAGTATGTGTTCTATTATTATAGTCTTTTACCCTACTATTTAGGGATGCAGAGGGTCTCCGAACGTTTTACTACCTCGTACAGGATCTGAAATGCCTTGTCTTCTCCCTTATTGGACTGCATTTTAAGATCAAGCCAATATAATGTACCAGCCCTTGTACCGCTAATGCTGCAAATATATTTTGTAAAGTTTCAGTCTTCACTCGTCCACATATCCAGGTTATCCGTTCCTTTTTATATTCCCCGGGGCTTGCTCAGAACCAGACTGTCTGTTTACATTCTCTAGCGTACAATCCACTTAATTTATCTAGCCGTTCATATAGTGTAAAGCCTATGGTATTGGCATGTATTATTGCCCATCGTCGCTTTGCTTCGGATTTGCCTTATGCTTCTGCCAACAACCCATCGACTTTTGACCGTAACGCCTATTGGACCATTTCCGTGCCATCCGCCAGGTCGCAAAGTATAGAAGACAAAGCGAGTTTGGAAGTACGCTATGGTAGTTGACGCAGATATTGTCCGTTCCGGCGGTCCCGGTCGGTAGCAAGAATTGACGGCTCCTGCCCAACTTGTTAGGTAAGGTTCTGTAGTGTTTACGTTACCACTCTACGAGCTGACGGACCACTCTCGGAAGATGGGTTTCAACGTCGCTGTAGTCGTAACTTTGGTGTTCCAAGGACATATTTTTCATGACCATCAGAAAAGTCTCTCTCGCAGGGTGCGTTCATTTGCGTTCGTGCGGTGTTGTGAGCTTCAAGTCGCTAGGAAAAGAATTGAATGTAATTTTACACATTCCGTCATGTCTGTCTGCAGTTTACCGACATCTCTCGTGATGCACGATCTATTCTTTGAGTTCAATGTTTGTCACTCAAGTGGTAGTGCAGCACTCCGGGCCTCATGACTGATTGCGCTGTTGCTGTAGACCCAAGCCCCTGCCACCTGTCCACATGACACGCCTTTTATGCTATTTTGCATCGTATCAGCTACTGCTTCCGTTCTCATTTCCAGTCGGCTTATTGCTGACGTCGATGGAAAGGGGAATGGTGGATGAGGCTGACTTTGCTTGTGGCTCACTGCGGTTGGTCGGACGCACCAAGAAGTGGTTAGAGATCGACTGGCTGAGTCGGTTTTCTGTACTGTGGGTCGTACCTCCATGAATCTTCTTTAGTATGGCGTGTATAACAAGCCCCACCAACGCGAGGTCCGAACTGCGATCTGTTGACGTGGGGAGATCGGCAGCCTTGCCACGCATCTGTAAGGTCTTGTCATATCTGCCATCGCGGACTTGCCCGTCGGCCTGACTCACACCTGCTGCTAGCGCACGACTTGTGAGGGAAGGGAGAGCGAGGGCGACTTCACGTTTCTTCAAAATACGAATTCTCCCATATTTTTAAACTCAGGACGTTGTCAAGACGAGCTAGCCCAAGTACCGCCTACTTGGGACGCTCACGGGCGGCGGATAGCTGCCCGACTTTCATACGGGATTAATCGTGAAGAAGACCCACTGGTCTGGCATTAGACCGTAGTTTGGTAGCAGCCACAGCGATGCCTGACTGCGGAAGACCAAGGTCTAACACGTCAACTGCGTCCAAAGTTCCGCAAAGCCTGGTAATGGCACAATAATATGGCGAACATGAGCCGCTCGTAAATAAGTTTTTTGCGGAAAAGTCTGAAGGAGAAAATCATTGATAAAGAAGACGAGTGGCCGTTAGGGACCATCCTATACTTAGAATTCTCGAGAAAACATGGAAAATTCCCCATCCAGTTGATACTATTCTTGTTACCGGTGTTCGCGAGAACCGACGCGTTCCACAAACCTAGTATTTTTGTGAGAGCGACTAGTGTGTGGTCTGGATTACTTAATATAGAATCGGCATTTGGTACTGAATGGTTCAATGCGAAGAGGTTCCTAGGCTCTTGTACTCAACGTCTCACAGCACGCAGTCCTTAGCTCAAGGTAGGTGTCTCATGGCCGCCTGGAACCTCAATTGCAGACCCAGAATCTCAGAAAATCAAAATCTTTGAGACCAACTTCCGCTTTGCCCTCTATCAAAAGGATTCGTGCTTATTATTGTAGACATGGTCTAGCAAACGATACGTGTCATTTACATGGGGTTTATTCAATAGCCATCTGACTGAATAGGCATTTTAGTAACATTAGTGTCATTTCACTCAACCCGACACCATTAGCTACCGACCAGCACGATGAAGAGTCCTACACACAGCTGAAAGAACAGGTTAAAAACTTCTTTACCGTGGTCTGTTGATTGTCGGCAGGAGCCATGTTGGTTTGTTTGGACCAGGCTACTCTTCAAACGACTATTACAGTGGCCGCTTTGGGTCTGATTCTCGATGCCACTATAGTGAAAGGATGTAGGTCTCTGCTGAACACAGCGGACTGGTTGACGCCGACACGTGCTCCCAGCAAACACTTGCTCCTCTGGCTTTCAGACGATGGTCGTACGGCCAGCCAGTCAATTCAAAGTTTCGTAACTGACTTCATGGCAAAATATCAATGCACGGTCTTGCCTTCCAACGCGAATCGAAGAAGGCAGTAGCGAAGTCATCTTTGAAATCTCCAATTTACGAGACAGATGAGCAAATTCTGAGATTTATCCTGCGGCTCCGCAACGACTGCTTCAACTCAAGGCTTTTAAAAGTCACTACCTATACGCCCCAAGCTAGGTTCAGCAAAAAGGACTTCACTACCTATGAAAAATGACAGTAAAGCCCGCCATAAAGGACTGCGAAAGCGATTGTGCTTGGGTTGCGGTTTCCATGGAACAGTCCTCGAAAGATCACCAAATTATTCGCCAAGTTAGTCATATGATCCCGGCACTGACTGACTGTCCGCGATATGTTGCAACTTTTTAGTTGCCAACTTGGTCAAAATCAGGTGCCGACTCAGCATTGAAGACGTATTCATCACCCGCATTCCTGGGAGCAGATCTTTGTTCCCCGCCACCGTATGCAGTTGGGTATAAATTCTTCTCGAGTAGAAATCTTCTATGCAATCCTGGGGCTATGTAACAACAGGGCGTCCAGAGAGGACACCATTGCCGCTGACGTCTGTAGGTTTTTTTCCTGGAACTGGCGTACTAACTTCATGGCTTGATTGAGCAAGCGTGAGGTGAGATCTTTCCCAATGAGTGGGGCTCAGCTATCATTGCGCTTGTTTTGAAGTAGGGTGATAAGAAAGAGTTCGAGAACTCTCGCGGTAATAGTCTTGTTAACTTTCCATCAGAGGTCTTTGCCACTTCCAGTCGTAGACTGTTTTAGAGTGTGCTTGAGTCGCAGACGAGACACAAACAAACCGGTTTTTAAGTTAAGCACCGATACAACAACCAAGTACTAATTTTGCAGCACATTAACAGCAACTAACGGCCATCTTCCTTGTTTGCCTCAGTGCAGCGTTCATTTATGACCATTTCGCGTCCTTCTAACAGATAGTGCAGTTATATATTTATTGACAAACACCAGCGTTATATGACCCAGGCCTGCCATCACTCCACTACTGTGCTAGTTCTGGTACATGACAATATCAACCATTCCATATTTGATGTGGAGTTCGATAATCTTGCATTCTGTACCCCACCCTGTTCGACTGCTCCATTGACTAAATCCTTTTGAGGAACTGACACGTCGGTGTCGAATGTGCACCCGGATACCGGCTGACTTAACCTGACCTGGAAGACGACTAGAAACTGGAGGTATTGGACTATCGTTGCTTGGGAACCCTCCTTTGGGCGAAGTACATCGGCGTGGTTTTGAATGGGAAAGTTTGCATTCGTTGCGATAACACGGCGAGGATACTTCAGGACACTCAAGAATGACAACCGAGGTGATTTGGACACGTTCTTCGTCGTTTACGTTCCATTCGGCCGGCGTCGCTACCAACCTGGAATCGTCGACGTATTCGGCTTAGAAAGAATCGGAGCCAGGTTTGAAACAGTCCGCCTAGATGTTGAGGCGGTTACGGGGCCTCCGGCGCTCTGCTCTCCATGTCCGCCGACGCACGCCCTGACGTGTGGAGAGTTTCGATCCGTGATATAATGGAGGCTGGCTAGGTCTGATATGATTATGGCCGTACTGGAGACAAGTAGTAGGACACACTAGGAATCTTGACTCGGAGGGTTGCCAACTGATAGGACACTTAAGTTCTATAGTTTTAAGACTACGCTGTTATCGCCCCCTCGTAATCTGGCCTGTTCTCACTTTTTTCGGGCCTATACAGTAGTTTTGTCCATATGCATATAAAGATCGGTAAGTGCTCAGCATACACAGACTCGAGTTTTGTCGTCAGCTGCTTCAATCAGTGACTGATCTCATTAAATGTTAACCGAAGTTATGAAATGCGCTTTCGATTGAAAAGAATCACTTAAATGAGATTCTAAGGTTGCTCAAGTTGTGGCACGGTTCCGTGATATTTCCGATACGTCAAGATGTTGGCTTCGGATGTACCACCTTTTAGTCACCTACACAGACAGCACTCGGCAAAAAATGAATACTTAAGTAGTATACATTTTATCTCCCGATGCCCGATGCTCTTATAAATTCAAAAATATTTCACAAGAGACATGCGCAAAAATATTCCTTCTTGTAGTCAGTTGATAGTAAGTCACGTTTTCTTCAAACTGTGTATTAAAAAGCGTATCTTTCGGTTCCAAAAGTCTCTAGCTATGGGATTCTTTAAGGCAGTGCAATATCCATTTGAATGACATCCTATCTGTCTGCCTAAAGGTGTTCTTCAATAAGTATGCAACGAAGTCCACATTTGTTGCTTTATTTTAGGAGCCCCATATGATATTTTATTAATGGTGTAAGGAAGTGTATGTTTTTCCCTACACGGAAAGTATAATGCTTGAAGACGGAGAGCCCTTAACGAAAATCCAACGGTAGATTGAGTCCAAAATTATTCGAAAATTGAGAAACTCTTTTAAAACCAAAAGATAGCCCTTCCTTGAGCATACAATTTGAAGAAGACATGATTTACTACCAAGTGAGTACAAGAATATTTTTTGCGCATGTCTCCTGCAAAACGTTTATGAATTTATAAGAGCATCGAAAATCGACAGAAAAAGTGTATGCTACTCAAGTATTCATTTTTTGCCGAGTGCAGTCGGTGCAGGTAACCGAAAAGAAGTACATTCAAAATTTAACATCCTGACGTCTCGGAAATATCCCGGGACTATGTCACAACTTAATAAACTTTTGAATCCCACTTAAGTTATTCTTCCTAATCGAGAAAACATCTCAGATTCCCTATTAACATTTCATGAGAGCGGCCACTGTACTTATACGCCCACTTCCAATCGTCCTGACGTTTATGGCCACTGAGACGTGGTTGCTGTGGGAGGAGGACGAGGCAGACTTTGTGTGGTTTCCCTCAATGTTGAACAGCTACTGCTTAAGACATCTAGGCCTATCTGAACAATATTGTCCTCGTAAATTACGATGGGCAAACTGTCGTTAGCTCAACGTTATGGGATGCTGCCCTAAGGGAGCAAAAGAGGGGGAAGACAAAAGGGGGGGGGGTCGAATTGTCCCCATCCGCCGGGAGTGACTTTCCCGGATATATGGTTGCTAAGGGACCTCATTTGTCTAAACGTGACTCAAAGAGCTGTATTTGTACCTATTGCCCCAAACTACTGTTCTCAATGACATGCTGTTGACCGGATCCTCGGGAGGGCCCTACACGAGGGTGACGGCGTTGAGTTTGCACCCGGATACCGACTGACTGATCTCGACTATGCCGATGATATCGCCTTACTTGCTTCACGTTTTGGTGATCTGCAGTCTATGGTGTCCCGGGTGAATGAGGTCGCTAAATCGGTCGGTCTATCCATAAACGCTGGGAAGACTAAAGCGTTTTTAAGCTGCATCCCTGACCAGGAGGAAGCACCTCTTAGGATTGATGGCTGTGAAGACAGTCTTAAATACCTCGGAGCGAGGCTGCTGCCTAATGGACAGAGTAAGGACGACATCGTCTCCCGAATCGATGCTGCCCGACGGGTTTTCTCAAGCCTTCGGAAATGCGTGTGTAACCGACGTGACCTCTCGATCGCCAGTAAGATTCGCGTGTACCGTGCATCTGTCCGCTCCGTCCTTCTCCACGGTTGTGAATACTGGGCTTTGCGCCTGGAGGACGAGCGAAAACTAGAGGTATTTATCACCACTGCTTGAGGATCATCCTTCGAGTGAAGTTCACCAAATTCTTCTCAAATGAGACGGTCAGCGCTCCCTGCGACAACATCGCAAGGATAAATCAGGTCATCCAAGAAAGACGACTGAGGTGGCTTGGGTATGTTCTTCGTCATCCACCACAGGAACTCAGTGTTACTGCCCTCGATCCGGCACCGTTGCCCCATTGGAGGCGTCGAAGAGGGAGTCAGTTCAAAACCTGGCTCGAAACAGTTCGTCAAGATATGGAGGTGGTTCCTGGACCTTCGGTATTCGGTCTCCGTCGTTGGCGAAGGGAACGGGTTGAGCTGTCCAGATCTGCTGCCGCGGATGGTCACGCGTGGAGAGGTACAGTTCTTGACATCATCGAGGCCGGCTAGATCAGGCATGAACGCAGCCGTATCAAGTAACATGCCTCTGAAAACCTCAGGCACAAGCATTTGCAACGACAGAAAAGGTTTAATTAACCGCAGTTTTTACTTTGGGATTAAATTACTCCATTGCCCTTTCGTTCCCACTCATTGTTAGTCAAGCGCTTCTGGCGTATGCAGGCATTCAGTCCTTAGCGTCCACGCCTCCATTCGAATTCAGGTGGTATCGCAACTCCCTTTAATATCAAGGCGGAGGCCATGGGGTACTAGCTATTTTAGTCATTTCGAAGCTCACCTCTATTTTGTAAGCACTTTTCAAATACCGAACTGTGCCTTCGTCTCTGAGAACCAATGTCATAAATATGCAATCCTTTACCTATCTGATCTGGCTCTGTTGGACGTGTTCAACGCACGCATCCTAAAGTACCTTGAACATTTATCGTTTCCAGATTCGTCTACTGAGTTATCCATTTGTTTGAGACTTGTTGGGTTTCCGAAGACATGAAGTTCAAGCCAGTGGTAATATGATGTTATATGTTCTTACAATTGTTTTATTCTGACGCGTGGCGTTGAAGCAGATGTAAACTTAATTAGTAAAGCCAGTATGAGTTTCTGACATTGTTTATAAATGTCTCTTTTAACGTTGATGACGAATTTTTCCTTTTTCCACGTTTGCATACTTACAGTGTACAGTAACGTTTTCCGACCGTTTAATTATCCTCAAAATTTTGCTCCTGGAATGTAGGACTGAGGCTACAAACTTTGCTGCAAATGTATTCGATTGTTGAATTCAAAGAAGAAAACGCCGTGGCTGTCGTGGCCAAGGCCTGTTTTGTCCGCGAAGGCCGCGTATGTTGACCAACATGTCGAAGCCACCGAGAGCATAATCTGCTTAGGACAAAAATCTATTCAACCAGAGTATTGAAGTGTAATCTGACTTTGGAAAATGCCAGACGGCTCTTGAGGAAGGTGGAAGACACGAGCGACCTATCCAGTTCCAGCCTGCCAAATTCGGCAGAGGCAGAAGGATAAAACATGTATCCTATATCTTTACTATATTTTTGTAGATACGTCCACAGGCCGACGCCCGATTCGGACGATTATGAGGAGGACGTCTACCGTCGAAGGCGGCTTGAGCGAAGACTGGCTCGTTGACCAACGCTATCACCAATTCTCCAATAAACTTCATTATCTTAAGTGACTTGTAGGCCAAGACGACGAGAATCTACCAAGCACATCGTTGCTATGGAGTAGGCCAATTCAGCCCGCGCCAGTAGCCTCCTACCAATGAGCATATTCTATTAATTTACTGTTTGGGATGGCAAGCGAAACAAAACACAGAAACTGCTCCATGAACTTGCTGTACTCAGGTACACCGCGGAATTAAGTGCCTTTGGTAAGACTATTCACAATGCTTTTGACAATCACAGAGGGGAAAAGTAGACTACGTGGCCGACTAGTGCCTTACAGACTTTAACGAGTTACAGCAAGTTAAGGCAACCTTGGCCGACATTCTTCGAATAGTATAGATCAAGTCTATCCTTGTCAGACAGAAAACCACACTTCCAAATTTGCCACTGTGCACTGAGGGGGAATATAATGATTTTGTTACTCGGTCAATTTCTGACACAGACTTTGCACAAGTGGTGATTAAACATATTTATCTGTATACCTATAACGGCTTTCAGGGAGAATAGCCGTCTGTTGTTGGAGGACAAAATGAGCGGGAGTTTGTTAAAAATCTCCTAACTACTATGTTCGGCCTCCCCCTCCCCCTCCCTATGCCTCAGCTTCTCTGAGGACAGTCGACAGACAAGAGGTCGTTCTCAGGTTGTCCCCTCCATATATCCTCTCCGGTACGGCAAATTTTTTATTAACATCCACAGACGCTATTCAGCCGAATCTAATATTTGGTAGCTCACCAACTGAGGCACTTCACAAAAGCGCCATTAGCTGGTTCCACAGAGCCGGAGACAAGTGCGGCGGAAGACCTAAACGCCGGGAGTCCGCCGAGAAGGTAATTCGATTACCTTGATTTATTCCCACATTTCAGCAGCTGCCGCCGACGTTTGCCCCAGTCTGTCTCCGACAGAAGACACGGTTATTACTTTCAGGACTTTACTTTTAATAGGCTTTATGCAACCAACTTCATATACATGGTTATTGTTGCATAATTTTTGGCTACTTAAGTAGCATGAAAATTTTCCGCTTAACTTACGAACCAATTAATCCTTTGTCTTCAGGAGACTGCCGTGGAAACTACTTCATATAAGTAATTATTACTAATTTTTTCGACTACTTCAGTAGTACAGAAGGTTTCCGTTTAACTTAGACCAATTTTCTCCTTTGTCTGCAGGAACCTGCCACGTCGACCGAAAGGTGTATACTAATGAAGCATAACTACGGATAGACAACCTGTATCTTGTACAAATTTTTCATGTACGTTTGCTGTTCTCCAATGCCCCAAAAACACCTTTCGCTAATTTCAATCAGCTGCCTTATGTTGTGATATTTGTCGCTGCGTCGACAAGAATTTGCCTGTGCAATTAATCGAGTGGGAGGAAACCCTGGGCTAAGCGTGATGGGGTTGATTTGCTATAGCGGTTACACGACAGCCCATGGACGTACAGCGACAAATTAGATATCAAAAGAGAGAAGAAAGGAGTGAACAGGCGAGCCCTCCGCGCATTTTTTGCGACGAGGGGGCCACTGGGGCCACATCAGCCCATGTCGCGCCATAGCCCAGTCCAACCAAGTCGTAGCCACTTCCAGCCCAATTTGGCTGGAGCAGGCGGGGTTGGGCTGGTGTTAGCAGAGGTAAAAACCAGGCCATCAGTCACTGGTGCTCGAAGTATTCGCCAAATTTTTGTCGAGCATCCATTTTACATACTTTTTTTACACTTTTCATATCAACATCTGCTCATTTAAGGGCATTTTATTGTACATTTATGTAGTGAACGCAGTCAACTCTCATGTCGTAGGCGTTCGTGCGGAAAGCCACCACTTTTAGCAGTGAGACTACCTGACCTCGAAAAATGCCTTTGGGGACTCGCAATAACGCCATTCGCCCACTGCGCTTACCTGCGCAAATTTCCAAGGAGTTACACGAAGTTTACCACTCTTCGTCTTCTAGCTCACTAGAAGAACTTATTGATCATAAACAATTTTTATAAAGAATAAACGACAGATGGTGTCTACAGTGAACATTGCCCCTCGGTGACTCTCAAGGTAGATCACCCACATAACTTTCTTGTACATCGGGATTCCCTGTCTCCTCGTCTTTCATATTCTGGAAGTACAAAACATAATAACTGCAGTTTGCACCAATGCATAAAAATAAATGAGGCCCCTTCTGAGGCCGAAAAAAGTAGGTAAATGGTATTCCAGACACAAAAGACTGTTTTAATGAAGTCGCAAGAGCGGTATACATGGAATTAGAGATTGAACCTTTACATCCTGTGGCAGTTTGGTTTATCACCTCTAAATTTCAGAGACACAACTGGGTTAGGGGTAGATTCAAAGGTTTCTAATAACTCTCAAAAGACGGTTGCTTTTTCTAAAAGGCAGAGAACATGTTTGTTTCTTATGATCTTTTGAAAGACTCTTATTCCATCCTGGAATGCGTTGAGTGTAAATTACATTCTCCTCAGCTTTCCGAAATATTTGCCATAAGTATCCAAGCGTCACTTTTGCTTTGCTTAAGAAAGAAGTCTCCAAGTTCATAGACACAACATGCGTGCTTGGACTATCCGATGTCGGCTTGTAGTCAAGCCAGACAAAAGTCAAAATAAATCGCCACAGGATAATGCACTACCGACACACTGCCACTAACATCTTTCTTCCCTCAGTCCTAAGTGAGTCTTGGCCCTGACTGTAATGTTAAGGGTATGTTAATTACCTTGACCACCATACATATGTGACGCTGACATGATTGAATCCAGTTGCCGCGAAACCCATCATCTCGACATATACGTTTGTCCGTTTTACGGGACTTGTTCGCGGTACAGAGCTGAGACTTCGCCTAGGCGGAGTAAGTAGCTACGTGGGGAGAGCACAGGTCGAGCAATCATCGCGCCAACGTCTAACTCCCGTGGTGAAACTGCAGCAATTAACGACGCTAATGTCGACCATCAAACAGTCATCACACTAAGTGCAGCGATCCCTGACGAGGGGGGAGGGGGAAGGGGAGCCAAGAATATTCATAGGTATGCGACAGCGCGGCAACTGCATCCTATACATACTGCAGCCCCTTGTGCATGAACCAGCCGTATCTGCTATTGCCCCTAACGATGGGTTCGAGCAGAAATCCAAAACTTCAATTGAATAAAGCCCTTGCCCAAGAGTTAATGTTTCCTTTTTCATGACAGACGACGCCAATTATCTAACACGACCGGAGGGTTCCCTTTAGAGGATGTCACGGGATTCGGCCGGAATTGTGATGGTTAATCTGCATTCAACAACATGACCATCGTGTAATGTACACGGAAAGATTCGTTTACTTTGTAAACTGGTTTGGGATACCAAAGAATGCCCAGATGCATGCATATTTTGGCGCTGAAGTAGATAAATTATGAACAAGTTAGTTCATCAGGCATGACCATAAGAATAAATCCTGGCTGATAGTTTTTGTGGCGAAATAATTGCTCTAATATAAACAGACACCGAAAACACAGGGCCATGAACTACTTTGGCGGCTTATTATTTCAAGGTAAGTTAGTATTTCGCTGAGTAAGTCTTAAATGAAAGCCATACTGTAGGAAAAAATATCAGGCGATATCTCATAGATGTCAGTACTGCGATCGCGTCTACTAAAATGTTCCTGCTGAACGGGCATTTAGTGGGCTTGACTAACGTTAAAGACATTCCGACGTAAGCTTTTCAACTTTAAACTCCTATAAGCGTTTAGAAATAAAATAATAAGACGAACCAGGTGTTTAAAAAAGGAAGACATGTAATACCAACCTCCAGCTCTTGCATTATCTGGTCCAGAATGTCCGTCGAGTTCTCCTTGAAAGCAACTGCAGCACGGACGGCATCGGTGAAAACGCGGACTACATTCGTACCATTGGAAGCAGACACAAAGTAGAACGGCATGTTGTTCTTTTTTGCGAAATTGAATGACTTCTTAGTCACATCTAAGTCAGCTGAATAAGTGTGTTTAAGGCATCAAAAAGGATTTAGGCAGTATACCATCAATTTTGTTAGCCACACAAAAGCAGGGGATATTTTCGCGGTAAGTGCGCAGCTCATTTAGCCAGTTTGTCAAATTCTTATAAGTTATTTTCCGTGTGACGTCAAACACAAGAATACACGCGTGGGCTTGATAATAGTAAGAGGGGTGCATGCTTTGAAAACGTTCCTGGCCGGCAGTGTCCCAAAAGTCTCAAAAATGAGTAATTAAGTGGCGCACAAACCCACATCTACTTTCCGTCCTTCGATATCCATCTGGTGCTTGTACAGGTTGAGGGCGTAAGTGGATAACTGCTGGGGCTGGCTAACGTGTTAGTCAAGGAAAAACTATACAGAAAACGCGATATGCTGAAGACTGTTTGGATAAGATTCGAAAGAACGCGTGTGTAATGTATCCTGCAAACCGAGGTAGATACATTACGGGCACACCAAATTGCGCTTTCGTAAATGGCACTGGGTCTAATTGTTCAGAAAAACGTAATTAAAGCAACATTACCTGTGCGGCACTTATGCGAACCCTGTCATTAGTCAAAATTGACCCAGTCGATTAGTAAAACCGAATAAAAACAGATGCTAGCCCTTAGACAACCATTTAATTAGATGTTTTTTATAAACCTGATAAACCTGACAGATAAGAAGTGAGAAGCAAATTAATGAGTACGCCACATCGTCTGGAGGACCGAGGCCAAATGACTAGAGAAGAGTTTGATTCTTAAACAAGTTTGTTCCCAAAGGGCAAAACATTATTTCAGCGTTAAAACGCCTGGGAATAAAGGGCTCGTAGTATAACCTAGGATAATGCTAACGTTATTGGTGATTTTAGGAATGAACCGTCTGAAGAAGGCCTAAATTTACAAAAAAAGCAGAAGAATTTGCCTGCTCGTTGAAAATAGACAAATGCTGCAATGCCTGATCTCCGAAACGGTCCGTTTGCAGCCGTCTTCCATAGTTTATTTTCGAGACAAATGTCCTGACTGAAATGCAGTAGTTGGCATAACTTATTGGACGTGATGATGGATTGGTAGGTGATCATTTTGGGGCAGATAAAGGATGAGTATTTGATACACGCATTTGTACTGGTTTTCATCTGCAATTTCCGAAAATATCCGCGTGATCTCTAGGAGAGGTGCACAAGTTCTAGGCAAGCCTCAGTTATCTGTAGAGTCATTAATCAGTGGAGTAAGTTGTTCGAGGATGCAGATAATGCTACAGCATGCTTAGGGGTTAAGAAACATGCCATGGTGGACAAACTATTATATCACAATGTAGTTAGCAGATACTCATAAAGAGTCTGCCGCCCGCCATATTTGTTCGCATTATTTCACTTAAAAATATGCTACGTGTTTTCTGTCATCCTCTACTAAGCCAGTTTTTATCGTGGAAAGTCCGAGACCAAGAGTTTTGTTACTGCTTCCCACTAGCCCCTACGGCAGACTACGATTATGCATAAGAAATCCCTTCAAGAATAAGTCCCTCTTATTGTCTTTCCTTTTTCTGGTATATTTGGAAGAGCTCTTGGGAGCATAATGTCTGTTGATCACGTTCTCACGGCAGGCTTTATATTGGTCCATTTGGATGTGTACGGCTCCCCTAGGGGAGCTTTTCCCATTCCACATGTAAGTAGTCATCTGCCAAGTGCTGTCTGCTGTCAGATTGGGACTTAAACTGAAACAGCATTTTACAACAAAGAGTTTCAAAAAATCACCTTTAAACTAATTTTCGTACTGTCAGCATTTATAATTAACAAGTCTGGGAGCGCACAATTGGTAAGAAATTACAACGAGTGTCTTAAGACACTATTGACTAAACGTTCAATTCTGCTGACACAGCCACAAAAGATCTATTTCCTCTTGTCAAGAATCCAAAAGCGTTGAAAGATCAATAACTCCCTTCAACGTATTCCCTCAGCTCCGGCTGCTTCACTCTCACATATGGACTAATAAGTCGAGGGAAAAATGACGATTCGTTTTGGGTTCGTGATTTGTGTTTATGTGAAATAACATTTTACAAAAGCATTGAGGGGCGAGTTTAGTAGAGTTATGCTAACTTAGAGCTCAAAGCAACTTTTTGGCAGTAAGGTTTAAAAATACAGCGACATTGCGTCTTGATGGGATAAATACACCCATCTGCTTTAAGCTTGTGCAGCTTAACGGTTCATATTCAACAGTACCAGATGGAAAGCGTGATGTAAACAAAGCAAAGCATAACTG